TGCTGCCCTCGGCTGCCCAGCTCCAGCCCTCCCCTCCAGCTCAAGACCTGTGGAGATCGAGGGAAACCCCCAGGATCTGAAAATGAGGGGTCTGGGGTTTTGGGGGGGTCCCAGAATGGGGACATACTGCTGGGGAGGGAATGTGGTGGGAAGGCCACCAGCACGGGTCACATTGTCATTGCCATGGGCAGGGGACAGGCTGAGGTGGTCCTGACCCCACTGCCTGTCCCCCTGGCAGAGTAAAGGGACACCAAGCAGCCCCACAGGGGTCCCAGCTGCAGGTGAGGGGCCAGCAGGCCCCCCGTGCCCCCCCAGAGCAGCAGAGCCTCGGCACAGGATGGGAGGTGAAGACGGATTATGAAAGTGTTTCTTTGCTTTGCTTTTGAGAAAGGAGAACTTCAAAGGGGCCATTTATCACCAGACAAAGAGAGTCGCGAGTTATTTGCAAAGTGTAGGGGAGAAACATTAATTATCGGTGTGACAGACAAACGCTGCTGCTGGTGTCCTCCTGCCCACCCTGCGCCCTGTCCCAGCAGGTCCTGGGTGGCTCCTGTCCCCCCTGTGCCAGTCCCAGCTCCTCTCTCGTCTCCTGCACCTGTGCCAGGTGGACCTGCGGAGCTCTGGGTGAGGGCACTGGGGTGATGGGTGTCCCCAGGGTGATGGATGTCCCAGCATGGGTGCACCCACATGGCCAAATGGGGGTTCCCCACGGTGTCCCCGGTGCTGACACTGCTGCCAGCGCAGCCCACGTGGTGCCCGAGTGCTCCTGTGGGGTGAGACCAGACCCTGATGGGGATAAATCCATTCCCTTCAATCCATCCCTTCAATCTGAGCCCCAGAACATCTCTCGCTGGGTGATGCCCAGGTTCATGTTCGCCGTACTTGGAGCAGGGGGCTCCACACAGGTGGAAGAGGAGTCATTTCCACACCAGGCCTCGCTCTGGGGCTCGGTGACAGCTCGGGCATGTCCCTTCCCTGGGGGCTGAGTGGGCTGTGCAGCACAGCCTGTGGTGGGGCATCTGTAGGGTGTCAGTGGGGTCTCTGTGCTGGGGACTCTAGGGGACAGGGTCAGCAGGGCTCAGCCCACAGATGGGGCACCCTACGGCTGCGCCTCTCTCCCAGAAGCTCTGCAGAGGGAGAGCCAAGGCTCCATCCATGATCTGGGAGGGAGAAGAGAGGCAAAAAGGTAATTTGCATCCTAAACAAAAGTGCCAACAGACCTGACTTCCCTGGAAGGTGAAAGCGGCACCTGTGCGGTGCTGGAGGCTGTGAATATCGGGGAGCTGAGGGGTGTGAGGGCTCTGCATGGCCCCGCTGAGCGAACCCCGAGAGGGGCGGGCAGCTCTTCCTTTCATGTCTGATCCCTCCCGAAACCACAGCTTCCCTTCGCCCCGCGCGGGGATCAACCGCGGGTCATATTTAATAAAGGTGGGGATGGGAGAAGCCTTCAAAACATTACATCACCTCGGTGTGGGGGAGGCGGAGGCAGGCAGGGAATGCGAAAATCTCAGCGCAAGTGGGGGCAGAGGAGAAAAAAAATCTCCGTGAGGGGGTTTAATGGGCCTGTTTTGGTGGGAACTCTCTTGCCCACTGCCCGCGAGGTCAGAGGCGGTGTCTGCACGCGTTCAGGCGTTAAATGAAACCGTAAGGAAAAAATGAGAGGCAGATACGAAATGCGTAAGCGCGCCCGTGGCAGAAATCCCCCGGCGCAGGGAAAGTGTCACCGGTGCCCTGTGGCTCCCGTGTCCCCGCTCTGCCCGGTGCCAGGGTGGGCACGAGGCAGGACAGGGCCTGTCCTGGCTCCTCTGCCCGGCTCTGCAGCGCCAGGAGCAAAGTTCCCCGTGCCGAGAGCCGTGCCCGGGGCTGACCCCGCGCTGGCCCGGCGCTCACGGCTGGCACCGATGGCTCTGCTGCCAGCCGGGAGCCGCAGCCCGGCTCAGGGCAAACGCTGCCGGCCCCTCTGTGCTGATGCAGGAGGATGTGGCCACGGGTAAGGGATTGCCTGGACCAGGCCGTCGCGGAGGGATGGTTATTCCCTCCTTGTGGACAGGGCTGCTGGTTTGGTCCCTGGAGGCTCTGAAGTGATGGGGAGCGGGAGGTGAGGCCGCTCCAGCCCTGGGAGCTGCCGGCCAATGCGGGCTGGCCGCAAACCAGGTGGTTTCGGAGGGCTCAGGGGCAGAGCAGAGCATGCTCAGACTAAAAAACCCTCCCGGTGCAGCCGCCCTGCGTTCCCAGCCGCAGTCACCTCCCGCTGGAAGCTCGGGCTGATGCTCCCGCCGGGCTGGGGCTGGGAAACTATGTGCTCCCAGCCCCGAGGGGCACCCACCGGCCCCCCGAGCCGTAATGACCACGCTCTTCTGCTGAGAGGAGTTAATGAGCTGTGCCGGACAACGATGGGAAAAGGCCGCTTGCAGTGAGGCTCCTGACATCGCTCGGAGGAGCGGGGCGTGGAAGAAGGGGGAAGAGCAATGGGGTGAGAGAGATGGACCAGAAAACGATATCCACTTCATTAGCCAGGTGGTTCCAAATGTGTGGAAACAGGACAAGGTCCAGGTCACCCACTGTGACAGAACATTATTATCATGCGATGCCATGAAGCCTGTGCAAAGACCAAGTCAAAGCTCACCAGCCCACTTGAAAGGGAAAAGGGACCCGCTCGGAGCAGGAGCCAGGCTGTTCCCAGGCTGCTGCAGGGTGGGGGTGTCACGGCCCGTGCCGGGGGGTCTGGGCTCTCAGCCCGGCTCCTGCTCTGCCCTGGCACCTGCAGAGCCTCCCACAGCCTGCCCTGGGCTGTGCCCTGTGCCGGGGCAGCGGTGGGAGCACAGCCGGGGGCACAGTGTGGCACTGAGCCGGGGGTGGCAGAGGCTCTGCACGCCCCCTCAGCCCCATGGCTCCGTGGTCTGGTGTCTCTTCTGTCACCTGGGAGCTGCAGAATTTTGGGGTGATCAGGGACCTGCTGTGGTGTGAAGGATGAAGGCACCTGTGGCTGCAGGGACCTGGGGGGAACGTGCCACTCACCCTCTGAGGTGGGAAAGCAGGGCACAGGGGGAACACTCACCAGTAACCCCACAGACCTTGGGGTGCAGGGCACAGCACAGCTGGGGACCCCTCACTCTCACCCAGGGCATTCACACGGTGCCAGACGGGTGTGAGGGAGCTGCTGTCAGCTCCCTGTCAAGCCTCAGCACCTGGGACCAGGCTGGGAATTTGCTCGGCTGGGCCCAGGGCTCCAAGCTGGGAGCCAGGAAGGGGCTTTTTGGGATTCTTCTCTCTGGGTGGTGCTCAGGCTGCCGTGTGCCCATGACAAACCCTGTGTGGCCATCGTGTGCTGATCCTCAGCCTCCCTCCCGACACAGGGAGAGCTTCCCTGCTCCCGTTAGGTGGCTGATCCCCAGCATCCCACTCCTGCCTGTGGCTCTGCCCTGTCCCCCAAAGGGCAGAGGGGCTCTGAGGGCGCTGTGCTGCCATCCTGGCCCCGAGCTGCTTCTGTTCCACCAGCAGGAATGGTTTTTATCGATAGTTCAGCCTGTTCAGCCCCTGCAGCTCCCAGCAGCCGCTCCTGCTGGCGGGCACAGACCGTTCCCTGCTGCGCCCTGGGGCTTTTCCCTTCCCTTCCCTCTGCCTGGCTCTGCAGGAACCCAAACTGCCACAGCTCCCCAGGGTGTTTAACTGAGAGGAGATCCATGGTCAGTGGTATTGGGGACCAGCAGCTGCGCTCCTGAGAGGCTCTGGGGCTGCATTTGGGGTCTGCCATGGATGCTGGTGGCTGTCAGGATTTTCTGTGTGTTTTGAGATGGGCAGGTAACTCTGGGTGCCCTGGAAAAGTCTGAATCTGGGCTGGGAACACTGGGTTTAAAGCTGTTGGCCTTTGCCAGGGCTGCCATTCAGGTGCCAGCCAACAGCAGTAGCAGCTGGAAGTGCTTTGGGCAACTGGGCAGTCATGAGTGGAGATTCCAGGCCTGCCTTCCCCTGAAGGGTCCCGGGCTCGTCTGTGCCTTGCTCTGGGTGTGGTGCCGCCTCTTGTCTTGTGCCTGCTTTGATTCAAGTGCGTTTGTTGATCTTTGGGACTTGGTGCATTCACAGTGATAGGCACAGCAGGTTTTGTTCAGATCCCAGAGCTCAGCTTGGATCTGTTCCTCTGCCCATTCCCAAGCCTGTTCCCTGCTCCCAGCCCTGACTGCTGCCAAGGGTCAATGGGGGCTTCGTGTCCCCTGTGACCCCTGTCCCCACAGCCTCCCTTTTGCCATCTGGGCGTCCTTCCATGTCCTGCACAGCTAAATGGCAGCGAGCCTGTCCCCAGAGCTGTCCCACCGCGGGGGCCACGACCCCCACCGCTAACCCCCGACTTGGGGGTGCTCCCCTGGGCCCTCACAGCCTGTTCCTGCTCCGTGCCGGGGCTTGGGCAGCAGGACCCCACACATTGGAAGACACGGGGGGAGAAACCTCCCTTGCGAGACGTGAAGGGGCTCTCGGCTTGGCCCCCTTCCAGCGCGGGCACGGCGCCCGGGGGAGCCGAACCCACCGGGGGTCTTCGCTTGGCCCCGGGGGGCGCGGGCAGGGAAAGGCGTTCCCTTCCCGGGGTGCGACCGGCACCGGGACCCCCGACGGCAGCCGGGTCCGAGGCGCTCGGAGCCGCCGTCCCGTGCGCGTCCCGCCCGGCGCTGCCCCCGCCGCTCCCCCGGGGCCTCCCGCCGGCCGCGAGGCAAAGTCCGCCCCGGCGGGCGCTAAGGGCCGGGCCGAGCCGTGCCGGGCCGGGGCGGGGGCCGGAGGAGAGGCCTTGGCGCTGATTTGCATAAGGTATAATGCCTTATGGTGGCGGTCATGGCTTGGTAGAGCGCGGCCCGCGGCCCGCAGCAGCCGCGGCCGGGGCGGAGCGGGGAGGAGGGAGGCGAGCGGCGGGGGGGGCGCGGGCCCGGGAGGGAGGGGT